TGTCTCCTTTTTTGTCTCCTTTTTTGTCTCCTTTTTTGTCTCCTTTTTTGTCTCCTTTTTTGTCTCCTTTTTCTTTTATTTATAATTACTAGGATAATAACTAACTAAATAAATAAACAAATAAATAAATAAACAAATAAATAAATAAATAAATAAAATAAATAAATAAATAAAATAAATAAGTAAATAAAATAAATAAATAAATAAATAAATAAATAAATAAATAAATAGTGTTATATCCCCATCTAAATAATAATTATTTTGTCTCCTTTTTATATTTTATATAAATAAATAAATAAATAAATAAAATAAATAAATAAATAAATAAATAAAATAAATAAATAGATAAATAAATAAATAAAATACATGAATAAAAAGCGAATAAAAATAAATATATTTATTTATTTATTTATTTATTTATTTATTTATTTATTTATTTATTTATTTATTTATTTATTGATATAGGTATTCGTCTTCTTACAAAGATGACATTAATGTTAGAAGATGATCGTATTATTGTGAATACACCCGAGGCAACAGCAGCAAAAAAATTAGGAAGAATATTGTATGTTTTTTTGCTGCTGCTGCTGCTGTTGCTGCTGCTGCTGCTGTTGCTGCTGTTGCTGCTGCTGTTGCTGTTGGGGGTGGTAGTGGTGCTGCTGCTGTTTATTTTGATGTATTTATTCCCTGCTGCTCATACTCATACTCTTGCTGCTGCTGTTCCTGCTGCTGCTGCTGTTCCTGCTGCTGCTGCTGCTGCTGCTGCTGCTGCTGCTGCAGGATTCGTTATGAACGTGTCTTAGCCCGTTTACAGCAGCACGTAACTCCTCCCTCCCTTCCTGCCCCCTCTTCTTCTTCCGCTCCCTCTATCCTTGGTGTTCCTTCTTCCTCCCTGTCCTCCCTTCCCCCTCCCCCTCCTCCTTCCTCCTCTTCCTCCTCTTCCTCTTCCTCTTATAATATAATAAAAGATGTATTAATATGCGGAGGTTTATTGCATGCATTAGATGATAATATAGATCCTTATGATTGGATACAAGATTGTGTATATACACCCCATCTTATACAAAATAATGCATTAAGGGGAGTATTATATGCATTAGGGGTACGTCCTCTTCCTCCTCCTCCTCCTCCTCCTCCTCCTGCTCTTGCTCCTGCTCCTGCTGCTCCTCCTGCTGCTGCTGCTGCTGCTGCTGCTGCTGATGGTGCTGCTGTTTATTGGGTACAAGTATGTGTATATACACCCCAATTTATACAAAATAATACATTAAGGGGAGTATTATATCCATTAGGGGTAAGGAACTGCTGCTGCTGCTGCTGCTGCTGATTATTGTGCTACTGTGTCTCCTCTTATTTATTTATTTATTTATTTATTTATTTATTTATTTATTTATTTATTTGTCTCTTTTTTTTTTTCTTAGTCTTATGAATCATCAATCCTTCATGTATTACGATGGCAATATTTAGATAAACCTCTTCCTCCTCTGCATAAGCTGCAGCTACCTGAGCAGCAGCAGCAGCAGCAGCAGCAGCAGCAGCAGCAGCAGCAGCAGCAGCAGGTACAGCAGCAGGTACAGCAGCAACAGCAGTTACAACAACAGCAGCAGCAGCAACCGCAGTTACTGCAGCAACAACAACAACCGCAGCTACAGCAGCAGCATATGCAGGTACAGCAGCAATATATACAGGTACAGCAGCAGCAAATGCAGCAGCAAATGCAGCAGCAGCAGCAGCAAATGCAGCAGCAGCAACTGCAGCAGCAGCAGCAAGCAGCAATACCATCACAGCGACCCCACGAAATATTTCAGCCACAAATTCCTTAAAATTTAAATTGCTGCAGCAGCAGCAGCAACAGCAACAGCAGCAGCAGCAGCAGCAGCAGGAGCAACAACTGCTGCTGCTGCTGCTGTTTTTGTTTTAGTGTTTGCTGTTATAGAAAAGCAGCAGACAATTAATCCACTTGCTGCTGCTGCTGCTGCTGCTGCTGCTGCTGCTGCTGCACAGGCTGCAGCAAATGGGGTGTACTGGGGCCCCACAGCAGCGCATGCAGCCCCAAAATAAGTAGACAACTTTTTGCATGCAACTAGAGGAGACAATTGTCTCCTTAATTTTTGTGTTTTGCATGCAGAAACAAGGAGACAATAATTGTCTCCTCCTTATACTATTATTCAGGTGTATAGGCAGCATATAATATATATAGCTGCATGCAGTACTAATTATTCAGGTGTATAGGCAGCAAATAAATATATCTAATACTAAGAATTCAGGTGTATAGGCAGCATAAAGATATATACATATATAATTATATAGCTAAATATAATTATATATATAATTCAGGTGTATAGGCAGCAAAAAGGGTATATATATATTAATAATTGGGGTGTATATACACCACAATATTAATAAACAAAATAAATAATAAATAAATAGTTAAAAGACGAAACACAAAAAAGGTCAAAGGAATAAACAACCGTATACACATACCAGCCCCAAAAATGCATGCATGCATGCATGCACGGGCTGTATGGATAGATGCATGCATGCATGCATGCATGCATGCATGCATGGGCTGTATGGATGCATGCATGCATGTATGCATGCGCGGGATGTATGTGTGCATGCATGCGAGCATGCATGCGCTGTAAGGCTGTATGCATGCATGCATGCATGCGCTGTATGTATGCATGCATGCATGCATGCATGCATGCATTGGTATCGGTGAATGGTTGCAAGTACAGACTTTAATTTATTGATTTATTTTATACTTAAAAAGAATTATATTTTTTTGTTTATTTATTTATTTATTTATTTATTTATTTATTTATTTATTTTTTGTTCTTTTTCTTCATTTATTTAGTGGTAAATAATTACTGCTTTGTACATGCATACAATTATAGCCTCAACTCGCTGCGGTCATGGGGCTGGGGCTGGCAAGGCTGCTGCATGCATGCATGCATGCATGCATGCATGTATGTATAGCTGTCTGTACACCTCAAGTTTATGCCTCCGCGGGGTTTGCTGCGTTGCTCTGTGCACTGCTTCCTTTTGCTGCTGCTGCTGCTGGTTCATCATCATCATCATCAGCAGCAGGAGGAGGAGGAGCAGCAGCAGCAGCAGATGGAGGAGGAGGAGGGGGAGGAGGAGGGGGAGGAGGCGGTGGTGGTGGCGGTGGAGAAGCTGTCTTAGCTGCACCTGCTGCTGCTGCTGCTGCTGTTGCTGCTGCTGTTGCTGCAGCAGCAGCTGCTGCTGTTTTGGTCTTAGAACAGCTCTCTGTCTTTTTCTGTTTTGCTGCTGCTTGTGTAGCAGCAGCCTGTGCTGCTGCAGCAGCTTCTTGTGCTGCTGCTGCTGTTGCTGCAGCAGCAGCAGCACGACGTCTTGCTGCTGCTGCTTCCCGCTGCTGTGTCTCTATCTTATCAAATTCTTCTATAAGACGCATTTGCTGCGCTGTTAACGTGCTAGGCATCTGCAGCAGCAAACGCATGCATGCATGCATGCATGCATGTATGTATGTGTGTATGCATGCACAGGAGTAAATATATACGCATATGCATGCATGCATGCATGCAATACACAACTAGTACATATATATATACACACACACAGCATGCACCATCTACTGCTGCAGCAACACGAACTGCTGCTGCTGCTAAACCACCACCACCAACTACTGCTGCTGCTACTGTTGCTGCTGCTGCTGCTGCTGCTGCTGCTGCTGCTGCTGCTGTTCTTACCTTAAGATGGAAATGTACAACAAGATCTCCTGCTGCAGTTTGCTGCTGCATGCGCGGGGGCCCTTTTCCTTTTAATACTTTTATTGTTGATGGGGAGGTACAAGGAGAAATAAATAAATCTATTAAACCCTCCAAGGAGGGGACCTCTATTCTCCCTCCAAGGAGACACTGCATATACATATACATATACATACGTACGTACGTACATATACATATACATATACATATACATATACATATACATATATATTTACGAAATTCGTATACATATACGTACATATATACATATATACATATATACATTTATATTAAATATGTTATATTATTATATATACTTAGTAGTAATATTTTATACTGTTAATTATTAATTATTTAATTAATATTGCATGTATAATTGCATGCATGCATGCATGCATGCATGCATGCATTTTGGGGCTGGCAGATAAATAAGTTACCTGTTTAACAGAAAGAGGGACATCTACATGTATATCATCTTCTATCCAACGGAAGACAGGATGGGGCTTTATATTTATCTATAAATAAATAAATAAATAAATAAATAAATAAATAAATAAATAAATAAATAATAAATACATAATAAAAAAAAAAAGGGAGACAGTAGCAGCAAAAAAGGAGACACCAGGAGGAGACAGCAGCAGCAAATATACCACAAACAACAGCAAACTGCAGCAACAGCAGCACAACAACCAAAGCAGCAGCAGTAGCAGCAGCAGCAACAGCAGCAGCAGCAACAGCAGCAGCACGGCTTACGCTAACAAATAGATGCCCGTTCTTTCCTCCTCTTTCTCCTGCATGTCCTTGATTAGGTACACGCATTTGCATGCCATGACGAACACCTGCAGCAGCAGCAGCAGCAGCAACAGCAACAGCAGCAGCAGCAGCAGCAGCAGCAGCAAGAGTTGTATAAGTATAAATACAAATACTAACATATAAACATAAATATAAATATAAATTTATTAGTTATTAATTATTAATTATTAATTATTTATTATTAATTAATTAATTAATTAATTAATAAAAAAAAAGAAGAGAATTACCTCTAGGTACATCAATATTAACAGCACGGGGCTGCATGCGTACACCCGAACCTCTGCATGCCCTGCAGCAGCAAAAAAAAAAGAAAAAAAAAAGAATAAATAAATAATTAATTTATTTAATTACCTAATTAATTAATTAATTAATTAATTAATTAATTAATTAATTAATTAATTAGGTAAATCCTCTTCCTTTTGTATACTGTGTATACGTATACATATTCATATACATATACATATACATATAAATACAGGAAAAAAAACGTAAAAAAAAGAATAAATAAATAAATAAATAAATAAATATATATATATATACTTACTTGCAAGGATCAGCAATAATATATCCAGTACCTGTACACTGTTTACATGGTACACCTAATACAATAGGTCCTCTTTCTATCCTTTGTATACCATGACCTAAACAAAGAAAACATTTTTTTATTCCTTTTTTATTTCCTGTTGTGCAGCCCCAACCTTTGCATGCATCACAACTTTCTTTTGCTGTATAACGAAGGGTCTGTATACATACACATATACATATAACAATAAATAATATATTTATTTATTTATTTTAATTATTTTATTTATTTATTTTTATTTTATTTATTTATTTATTTTATTTATTTATTTTCTTATGTATGTAGGGAGATAATACACATGCATGCATACTGCTACTACTACTACTACTAGTATTAATACAACTGCTGCTGCTGCTGCTGCTGCTGCTGCTGCTGCTGGTGTACCTTCTCGCATCCTTTAATAGCCTCTAATAGTTCAAGATTTAATTCTGTTTGTATGTCTTCTCCCCTAGCAGCAGCAGCAGGGCCACGACCAAATATAGAGGAAAAAGTGTCTCCTCCTGCAGCACGATTGCTGCTGCTGCTGCTGCTGCTGCTGCTGCTGCTGCTGCTGCTTGCACCCGCCATAGATGCAAACATCTCCGCAAAATCTGTAAATAGGATTGATGGATCGAACCCTACACCACCAAAAGGGCCTAAGGAGACACAACAAGGAGACACAAAAAGGAGACACTATATACTGCAGCAGCAACAGCAGCAGCAGCAGCAGCAGCAGCAGCAGTTGTATTAATAATAGTAGTAGTAGAGGCGACAGCAGCAAGGGGACAGTAATTGTACTTATTGGGATGCAGAGAGACACAAAAGGAGACAAAAAAAGGAGACACAAAAAGGAGACACAAAAAGGAGACAATAAAAAGGAGACAAATAAAAAGGAGACAGTAATATATATATACCTTGTCCTTCTGCTGCACCAGCAGCAGCAGCAGCAGCAGCGTCGTCAGGAGACAGTCCTGTCTTATCATAGAATTCCTTCTTCTTAGGGTCACTAAGGAATTCGTAAGCCCTATACAAATAAATAAATAAATAAATAAATAAATAAATAAATATAAATAGATAAATAAATAAATAAATATAAATAAATAAATAAATAAATATATGTACGTATATATAGTACAGTATACACATTTTTATTTATACAATTTAGTTGCATATACACCCCAATAATAACATAATAGCTGCATATACACCCCAATATACTGCCATTTAGCTGCCTATACACCCCAATAATAACACATTAGCTGCCTACACACCCTAATAATAACACAACATTAGCTGCATATACACCCCAACAAGTTGTATTTAGCTCCCTATACACCCCAATAATATAACCGTCATTTAGCTCCCTATACACCGCAACAGCCATCTATCTCCCTATACACCGCAACAGTCTCTTAGCTCCCTATACACCGCAAAAGGCCTCTTAGCTGCCTATACACCCCAATGGCCTCTTCTTAGCTGCCTATACACCGCAAACGCCCCTTCTTAGCTGCCTATACACTCCAATAGCCTCTTTTGCTGCATATACACCCGAACAGCCAATTAGCTGCCTGTACACCGCAGCAGCTGCCTTGCTGACTATACACTGCAGCAGCACTTTGTCTCCTTATACACCGCAGCAGCAACACGTTATCTCCCTATACACCACAGCGCAGCTCTCCTGCTGCCTGTACACCAGAGGCCTGTATAACTGCCCATACACCGCAGCAGCTGCCTTGCTGCCTATAGACCACAGCAGCTGCCTTGGTATCTATACACCGCAGCAGCTGCCTTGCTGCCTATACACCCGAGGCATTTAGAGCTGCCTATACACCGCAGCCAATGGTGTTAATATAACCACCAATAGGGGACAATACAGCCTCTCGCCTCAGCACTCCTGTCTCCTTAAGGAGACACCTGCAGCAGCTGCTGCAACAGCAACAGGAACAGGAACAGTAGGAACAGCCGCTGCAGCAGCTGCTGCTGCTGTTGCTGTTGCTGTTGTACTGCAGAGGAGAATTGGCTATCTTTAGGCTTATTTGCATGCAGCCCCAAAGACTGAGCATTGTTCCCGAGAAACAAACCAGTACACAACACTCTCCATCAGCAGCAGGATCAGCACCTGCTGCTGTTGCTGCTGCTGCACCTCCACCAGCAGCATCAGCATCAGCAGCAGCAGCAGCAGGGCTATAGCGGGCATATATATATATATATATATATATATATATATATATA